TTTAATACCAATCTCGTTCTGCAAGCAAGGTCCAAGATCAACTTCTTTATTAACACAATCTGTAACAGCAGGCTTTTGAAGGCAATTGGGTGATCTATACTCATCCTTTCAACATCGATCCCCTTAAATATTTCTTTGACCAGTTCCATTTCAGTAGGTCCTTTTATTTTGTACATAGTCATTCGAAATTTATCAACTTTTCTTAGCCATTCTTCACACTTACAGTGCAGAACTTTTTTTTCCAGAAACTTTTTGGATATATCGTCATTTATTCTTTTGTCATTCCTATTATTATTACAAATCAGCGTCTCCAGATCACTTTTATCCGCAGTTTCGTCATCGTCGATTTCTTCGGACCTTGTAGATATGTTTTCTACTTGATTTACCTTTTTCTGCTCCAATTTGTTTAATCTCAACTTATTAATGGCATCCACTTCAACTGACTTTTGATAATAGGTGAATGGCTTATATTCATCCTTTCTAATTTCCATTCCATTTTGCTGACAGAGTTCAGGGCTATACTTCTCATCTGGATTATCGTTTCCTGCATGTTCTTTTATTTCTTTATTCTCATCCTTTCTAATACCAATTTCATAGCAGAGTCTAACAAGATATGTTCTATTAGCATCACCTATATCTGCAGTCTTTTGATAATAAACAACCGCCTCGAGGTTATTCTTTTCGTCAGTTCCTTCGTCAAGTCGATCTGCACTAGCAGATTCTTGGAGGTCATTGAATGACTTAGGTTTATCCAGTTCAACTCCAATTCCTTTGGTCAGTAGGTCTGCTTCATCTTTTTTGGCATTGACTCCATTTTGGTAGCAATAACTATGGTTGCCTTTTCTATCATTATGATCTATTTCTGCTAGCTTTTAGTAATAGGTAAATATCTTAGATTCATCCTTTTTAACTTTAACTCTTTTATTCTCATTCTTTTCAATGCCAGGTTCGATTTGATAACAGTCTCCACGGTTTTCGAGTTTGGGTCCCTCTAGCTCGTTCGGTTTAGACATCCAAGTTTCCAAAATTTCCAAATAACCGTCGATCAGATTTTTTAGAGCAACTTCAGTGTCAAAGTTACTAACCTCAGATACAACTTCCAGAGCAATATATAGATCAATTATTTCAATAGTCAGGTCCTTCTTGTACCAGAATGGTGTTGAAAAAACTTCTGAAGCAGGTTTTACTAGAAATAGTCTTTTCTTTTTTGTGGCTGTAAAAACTTGAATATAAGGAGTAAGTATAGAATTGGCACTTTCTTATTATTTTTACTATTTGTTAAATTTTTTAATACTTCTAATACTAATTTCAGGGTCTGAAGAAGTTGTGCATTATCAATGTAGTTATTTCCAAAGACTTCATTAATGAGATATTGGAATTTGACGGCTTGTTCATTGGTAAGAGTCTTAGTTAGAGCAACACATTTTTTATCTAGCTCTTCTACTTTAGGGCATTTACTAATTATGTGTCCTATTATATTACAATAAGTGCACCAGGATAGTTTTTTAAAGGTTCTTCGACGTGGTTTATAATTCCAAGACCTTGTTGTGGTGGGTCTCTTTCGTTCGGTACTGGGTATTTCTTTTGAAGTATTAATATGATTTGGCTTGATTGATAGATATTTGATTTGGGGGGTGATAAAAATCTATTTTGTATAATATCAAAGTTATTAACAGTTCATCCCAACATCAAGATTAATTTAGGGGATTAGTTTATCTCACAGTCACTACCAAATTGTAAAAAGCCTGCTGTTACAGATTGTGTTAATAAAGAAGTTGATCTTGGACCTTGCTTGCAGAACGAGATTGGTATTAAA